TTGGAAATGCAGAATTTTAATTCAAAGTTTTAACATAGAAGGCTCTAAAGTTCTTTGGCTAATTAAATCTTATTACCATATTTCATTTAAATTTTTTTCCCTCAAAATCAGCATAAAGATTCCATAAAAACGGTCACAGATTCCATATGAATCTTTGAACCAAACTGCTAAAATGACAATGTTATTTAACAAAAACTACTGATTAAAAGTTTGGGGTCAGTAAGATATATTTTTAAAGAAATTAATGCTTTTATTCAGCAAGGATGCATTACATTGATCAAAAGTGAAAGTTGGACTAATGGCTGCTGAAGATTTAGCTTTGCCATCACAGAAATAAATTACATTTTAAAGGGGTCCTATTATGCTTTTTCACTTTTTCAACTTTAGTTAGTCTAATGTTCTGTTTGAGCATAAAAAAGATCTGCAAATCGGACATTTTCAAAAACTACAACGAACGACTCGTTTGGACTACAACACATATTTTCCGGGATTTGTGATATCACAAATATGACGAATGGGACGAGACCTGGTTGAGCTGCACTAGAGAAGGCAATGAGTGTTATCACTATATCGGAGACACGCTAGCTTTCCCAAGGCAGATTAACTTAGAGTGGTTAACCTGTGTAACTTTGCAGATCTTTTTTATGCTCAAACAGCAACATTACAGACTAACTAAAGTTGAAAAAGTATTATAGGACCCCTTTAAGAGGCTACTTACAAAAACATACACCCCGAACTATTGAACAGCAGAGAGTATGTTCTTCTAAGTGAGTGTTGCTTTAAAAATGTGAAACAGATTTGAAATCAGTAGTGGAGTGATTCCTGAGATGTGACGACTTACCCACAGCTGAGGCAGATGCTGGAGCAGGTAAAGTACTCATCTGGAAAAAAAGAGTTGCTTGCCAGATTCTCATCAGGAATCTCTCCACTGAAGCACTCACTCAAAGCCTGGAGAACAAGAGCTTGATCAGCCACACAAACTACTGTACATTACAATTGATAACTAGAAATAGCACAAATGTCCTTTGGAATATGTCATGGCCAGAGCTTAAGATTTGTAAATAGTCATGTGAATGCTGCAAAAACAGGCCACTTCAGCAGATAAAAAAGGAATGTTTTTAGAGAAAAGTTGAGAACATTTCAAACCAACTCTTCCACCCTTTCATGTCATTGATGAGCTAAAAGTGTTATTGAGATTATCAATGAAAAAAAAAAATTACCTGCAAGGCTTTATAGATGACACCGGCAGACCGTGGAGATCGTGTAGTGTTGTTGTCTAACTGCTGCTCCACGCTGCGCAGCAGACCGCTGAAGTCAGTCGGGGGGTTGTGGGTTCGAGTGCCCCGGTACTGGATAGAGCTGAATGCTTCCGGAAAGAGGCCAAGCTTTCTGAAACGTTCCTGAAGAAGCCGCTCGGCCGATTCTGATGGCTTGTCTACAGTGTGTGCAAAAGAGAGGTATTATGCTTTTATTATTTTGCTTACCTTATCTTTGTGTCCTTCCTAACTTATTATTGTTGGGTAAGTAGGACAGCAAAGTAGAAAACATCCAAAACTGACCTGAGCCTAATAACTTGGTGTGGACTGTCTCATGGAAGATTATAACAGCAGGACCCAAAGTCGAAAGGGGCACATCCAAACCACAGCGTGCAGTTGTGGCTTTCAGCTCCTTTGTGAAATGTTTTAGATACGCATCTGATGCATCTCCAAGAAACTTGAAAAGATCATCATGTAGCCGGTCAGCATGTGTCCGATAGATGACCAGATCAGAGACCGCAAGCACCTTCAGAAGGAGGCGGGTTCGCTGTCCTTGGTTAGTTCCTGCCCCCAGGAGACCCTCTGTGTCAACAACCACCACCCTATGGACAGGGTCCAGTGCTGCCCACACCCCAACAGTGCAGGATTCCTGGGTTGGAGATGTCTTGAAAACTTCACGACCCAAAAAGAAAGTGTGATTGAGGGTGTGGGATTTGCCTTCTCCAGTGTTGCCGAAAATGGACACCACCTTCAAGAGCTCCTCGGGCCTGCAGGCTAATTTCCTCACGAACTCCTCATCCTTCACCTGTTCAGGTTGTGGAAATGAACATGTTGCTTAATAATGTTACATTTCACCTCACTCAATATCACACATTTTCCTTTTTATTATTATTATTATTATGTTTATTTTGCATAAAACATTTGCATAAAATCAAACTTGTATGCTCAAACTTAATTCTGAGACCAAATTTGGTAATTTGCCATTTTGTTCCAATAAGTAGTTCTAAAGTAAGAAAAGTATCGCGCTTTGCCTGTCACAATGCAATGTACAGGCTAAAAGCTGGTCTGGAACAACATAATTGAGTGGAGCGGAGCAACAGTAAGTTCCCCTCCAGCTCAAGTCGTTCTTTTTCACTTTCCACTCCGCCTGACTAGTTGAGAAAATTCCAAATTTGGAAAATCGAAAAAGCAATGGTGTCATTATCTATTTTCAAATACAATATATATATATATTGTATATATATAACGACGTCAAGCACACAAATCCGTTTCAATTCGCGAGATCCATTTCCGATTTTCCAAAAAAGAGGGTCTAGCTTTATTCAATTAGCTTCATAATGAGAACCCCAGCCAATCAAATTTGAGGACCAGAACTAACTTGTATAAAACGGGAGAAAGTTCAAAAGTTACACAAGCTGACGTACTTGCATATCTTCCTTTTCATCCACTAGAAGAAAGCTGGTGACTTGCTCCAGTTTAGCTTTCAAGGCATCCAGCTGTTCATCTCCAGTGCTACAGTTCTTCTCCGCGGGTTTCGAAGGAGGGTAGACTGTGAGAGGGTGCTTTCTTTTACTGACCCCGCTGTGAGTCCGCTTCTGACAGTCCAAACACAGGTTGATTTTACATCCCTGACAGCGGACCACTGCTCTCAGGCGACCCCCGTTCGCAACGCCCCCGTCCCCTTTACATGAATCGCAGTAGGGCACGTGTCCAGGTGAGATTCGGATCCTGTCGTGGTTCCTCATGCGCTCCTGACGGTGGAGCTCCAGCTCGCAGCGGACGCACTGCAGGCTGCCGCATTCGTCGCACTCGAAGGCGGCCTCGTCGGAGCCACCGCAGGCGTAACTCTCCTGACAAACCAGGACGCCGTTCACCCCCTTCTCCACCGACGAGCCCTGACAGCTCATTATACGTCTAAATATAACAGCGAGGTAGCGAACCGAACGGAAGCGACCGAATTTAAAGTACTAAAATCCCTCAGTAAATATACTGACTAGATATTCCTCAAAGTTGCATCAACTACAGCAGAGACCAACCTAAATGTACAATCAACAAGAGAGATGAGATATAATGCCTCAAATATGATGCATTTGAGGTCTTAAACAAAATATCTTACTCGTTTGCCTTGAATTTCATTGGAATTCGAAATGTGGTGTCAAATTATGACACTGGCTTAAAATCAAATATTCAATATGAACTATAATTAGATCAATTGACATCCGTATAGCACTGGCACTAGGTCAGACCTGTCTAGCTTTCTGGTTGATTTTAAAGTGATCAAGGGGTCTAAACTTACGAACTACAAGCAACAAAAATCGACATGTATTTATTGGCCGATGTAAACAGTAAGAACAGCTACATTCGGGTGTTGTTACCGTCCAGGGCTTTGTTACTCAAGCTAGCTAAGCTTAGCGTACGTGTCCGTAAAACACCTCCAATTTCAAAGACTAAAAATACTAGGGGGTTAGAAATCTGACTAATGCATCGGAATTAATAATTGTTTAGTATCGTACAGACTGTCCTTCTAGTATGTTCACCCAACAACACATTGATCAACCCAGCTTTGACCGAACAAAACAAGCTGATTTCGAGACAGAATCACACCGCAATTTTCATCAAACACGCTGCTGAATTCCCTGAAGCCTCGCACACGACAACGACCCTTTGATAAACACACAAATTAATAAGCCGGTTGATGTCAAGATAACTGTTTTTTCCCCACCAGCTTGTAAAATGATTCCCCTCCCCGGTAGATTCGGGTGAATGTTGTTGCCAGGTCAGATCAGCTGATCGGCTTGTTTTCACTGGAGCGGAAGTCGAAGGTTACCAGCCGCAAAGCCAGATGGGAAACGGAGTCCATTCTCCACAAGCAGTATTTACTTGTAGGATGAGGCAGGAGAGTTGGGGCGGGCAGAGGTCAACAGCTATATGATTTCAAAAACAAGATGATGCAAGATGAACATCTTTGGGTACATATGAGGCAACAGAGTAATAACTTCTCATTGGGTGTTCCTGTCTGAAAAAGAAGTGTGCTTATTTTTTTTGTGCACTTTTCAGTGTGCTTCAAATCTTAAAATTATGTTTTTAAAAAACTGTACTTGCAGACAGTAATGCAATGATGTTAATGGACACTTATGTTTCTTAACACAAACTTTTGAGAAGGCACTTTATAATGTCAAATTATTTTTAAAGCACATTTTAATCATTTGATGTGCTTTCAAGAAGTACACTTAATATGTAAACTAATATTTTAAAGCACATGTGAAGTACTTGATTCAAGTTTGAACTGTTATTTAATGTTCCATGTAAAGTTTAAGCTATTAGACTTTCATTTAATTGTAAATAGTAGCCCATACAATTTAGTTATCGCTTATATTTGTCAAAGTAGGCTATATTGTTTTAAAGAATATTATTTCTGGAATGAGGTGTTT